ATAAATTGAAAATATACAAAATCTTTATATTCAGTTATCACTTGCAAAATATTTAGAAATATAAATAAATGTAAATTTTTTTTTTTTAAATTTCACACTCTAAAGTGTCAGTGTTGAAAAGGAACAAATTAAAACATGTTCTTGGTTAAAAATTCATTTTTTTTTAAACAATTAAAAAATATAAGCCATCTAATGTGTCTGTTTTTTTTTTTTTGTTTTTTTGTTTATTGAGTAATATTCTGGGAATTAACTCCAAAGTAGAACAGTTTTTGAAATGCAAATTTTGAAGTTGTAAATAAGTATAAAAGTAATATAAAAATATTTGCTGTTTATATCACGCTGTCACAATCACCAGCGATCTAAACATCATAGATCACTGGAAAACATTCACATTCACACGAACTACAAATCTGCCAGTTTATGGACTACAGATCCCAGTCATGCAACACACACACACTCACCTGCTCCAAGTCACCATTGATTAGACACTCACAGCTGAAGCTGTTTTTATACAGACTATATATACACCTCTCAAACACACACATGTTGCTAGTCTTGTTATCTGTTTAAGTGACATTACAACGCGTTTCCTTTGTCTTGCTTTTCCGGGTTTTTGACCCTCGCCTCACCTTGTTTGTTTTAAGTTGTTTGCTGCCTGCCTTGTGACCATCTGCCTGTCATTTTGACTACGACTCTGGATTGCCCTTACACATCTGTTTGCTCCTGTGTTGATCATTGCTTGCTTGACCATCTCTATCTTTTTCACTGTCTGTTATCAAAACACACACACATCTTTTCTTCAAATACACTGTATTTGTTCTCAACCAACTAAACCTCCGAAACCTGAACAGAGGTCGAATGGATCCACATGACATCAAACAAGTTGTTTTTTTTTTTAACATTTTTAGAAGCTGCAGAGAGGGTGATCATTTCTGTCTGAAACCTGTAATAATGCAACACCTGAAACAAAGATAACACATGTTGACGTGTGTCATTACTGAAACGTTTAACACTCGTTCATGCAGTGCAAAAGTTGTGCATGACTGATGTGCGTTCGTCATGCAAATAAAGACGTTTATTGTGCGTGTTCGTGTGTGTGTTTTTGTTACCGGGTTGGAATCTGGAAGTTGGCTTCTCGGTCGAGTCTGTACGCCACCTGAAGTGGTGTAGATCCTTCCACCTTCCGGACACCCTTCATAGGGATCACATCCAGCTGGAATTGTGTGATCAGATCAAACCCTGCCACACACAAACACACACTCTTAAAATGAAGTCTTTTACCCTGTTTTACATTCACTGACTAATAATAATAATAATAATAATAATAATAATAATAATAATAATAATAATAATAATAATAATAATAATTATTATTATAAAGTATAATTAATTATAAGTCTTAATTTTAAATATAACTATTATTATTAGAATAAAAATACAGCAAAAAAGTAAAATAAAATTATTATTAATAATAATAATTAATTATAATTATTACTTTTTTATTAGAATAAAAAATACAAAAAAGTATTAAAATAAATGAATACATATAATTAATTCGAATAATTAATTATTACATTTATTATAAGAACAAAATATACAGCAAAAAAGTAAAAGAAAATTAAAAATAATATTAATGATAAATTTAAATATAATTATTTATATAATTATAATTATTACATTTATTATTAAAATAAAAATACAAAAAAGTAAAAAATATATATTTATTTAATTATAATAATTATTTTACTATTACATTTGTTATTAGAATAAAAATACAACAAAAAAGTAAAACACATAAACGAATAAAAATGATACAACTTAAAAAAAAAAAAAACATTACTCCATTAAATAAAAAATAAATAAATAAAGGGTTAAAATGCTTATCATAATTTTTTTTAAAAGTCATCAGAACCGACACTAGTGTCAGTAAAAATGTTTAAATTAAAATTTTATGAAATATTTAACAATTTTATAATCAACTTAACATATGAATAATCAATAAACTTCATATGAATAAAAAAATCGACACACTAAGTTTAACACAACATGATCACACATCTCTTCACAAATCTGTTTACTACAGTAACTGCATCTGCCGTTTGCTTGCACTCAGTTTCCAGCCCATGCAGAGCAGCACATGCTACTGATTAGAGTTTTCCAGCCTCCGCATTATTTGTTGAAAGTGAAAGAGTTGCAGCTAATTAAGATCTTGCTGAGCCAGGAGTGTTTCCACCACAGAAACTGAGCCTAAAGTTTTATTTGCCTCATTCAAGATCTAAAGACATCTTAAAAGAAGGCAGCAATCGGCTACAGCATCTTTAGCTAATAAAACAAAGAGCGGCCGCCGCATGTTCTGCAGACACTAAACTACTGACGGCTATTTATAGCTAAACAATGCCTGAAGAAGAGGATTTTAACCATTATATTAATGCATAAATGATGATGGTTAAAAATTCATGGAAAAAGTGCTCTATAATCGTTCGTTTGACTTAAAGAGCTAGACCTATTTTACATAACATACACCCACCGGCCACTTTATTAGGTACATCTTAGTAGTACCGGGTTGGACCCCCCTTTGCCGTCAGAACTGCCTTAATCCTTCATAGCATAGATTCAACAAGGTACTGGAAATATTCCTCAGAGACTTGGACAATATTGACATGATAGCATCACATAGTTGCTGCAGATTAGTCGGATTCACATCCATGATGTGAATTGCTTATTCCCCCACATCGCAAAGGAGCTCTATTGTCGCAGCAGAAAGGAGCGGCACCCGATGCAGTCTTCTGCTGTTGTAGCCCATTCGCCTCAAGGTTGGACATGAGATCCAACCTTTCAGAGATGGTTTTTTGCAGACCTCTGTTGTAACGAGTGGTTTTTTGAGTTACTTCTGCCTTTCTATCAGCTGGAACCAGGCAGGCCATTCTCCTCTGACCGCTGGCATCAACAAAGCAGTTGCACCCACAAAACTGCTTCTTACTGGATATTTTCTCTTTTTTCGGACCATTCTCTGTAAACCCTAAAGATGGTTGTGCATGAAAATGCCAGTAGATCAGCAGTTTCTGAAATACTCAGGCCAGCCCTTCTGGCACGAAATTAGGATTAGAAATTTGTGATAACAAGCAGATGGACAGGTGTACCTAATAAAGTGGCCGGTGAGTGTATTTTGAATATACAACTATAGAGAAACTCAATTAAGAAATCATTTGAAAATTTATTTAGATTTACTGGATATATTTGTCATTATGGACAGTATTAAAAAGTAATATTTTACAATTAGTGCTGTCAAACGATTATTATTTACAAAATGTATTTTGTGTATATTTTTGTGTATATAAATATATGCATGACTATATTGTATAAAACAATTGTTAATCATTTTTATATATGTTATTTTTTGCAAAAACCTTTTAAATGATATTATCATTATTTTAAATATTGAAGAAATGTCACACGTGGATAAAAGAACAAAACAAAACATCCAGAGAAATGAAGAATTTTCATATGGCATCTTCATTTATTCATTAGCTGTGTGTCTTTTTTGTATTGCAGAGAGATGATGAAAACACAGTTCACAGCATGTTTTTCACAGCAGCTGGATTTTACCTGGAAGGTCATCTTGTCCATTCTTCATGGTCGGGCACACCGTGTCGCCATCTAATCTGTTCAAATCCAGCTCTGAAAAATTCATAAGCGACAAGAGTGTCATTTCAGGCCTGTCTGCAACAACACATCACTAGAGAATATGCTCAGATTGGACAAAAAAAAACAAAAACAAAAAACAGAGGGGTAAGAAAAGATGTTTACTTTACGTTTTAATTTTTCAATTAATTTTTATATATATATATATATTTTTATAATTTTCTTTTTCTTTTTTATAATTTTTATAAATTTAAAATTAATTTTTTTGGGGTTTTGATTAGCAGTATAATCAAAATCAACCAACACAATACATACAAGATAACCATAACCATTTTCTAACCTAACCCTAACAAATAAATAATAATGAATATTATTTGCATTATCAAAAGCACTACAAAGAAAATGATAAGAAAATGAATAAAAATGAATAAATAAATATTATAAACATTATTAGTAAAAACCATTACAAAAAAATGATTTATATATATAAATATATATATATATATATATATATATATATATATATATATATATATATATATATATATATATATATATATATATATATATATATATATATATATATATATATATATATATATATATATATATATATATATATATATATATATATATATATATATATATATATATATATATATATATATATATATATATATATATATATATATATATATATATATATATATATATATATATATATATATATATATATATATATATATATATATATATATATATAAATATATATATATATATATATATATATATATATATATATATATATATATATATATATATATATATATATATATATATATAAATATATATATA